TGGTAATATTTTGTCCTATCAGACGAGTCAAAGTGGGGACCGATTCAAAGAATCACAGTTAAAGTTTACCAAACAAATTGACCATGATAACGCTGATCGGGTGGTATTGACCCTGGACAAAAGCAAAAAGTTCCAAAAGATATTTGGTATAGGTGCCGCGTTTACCGATGCAGCCGCTATTAATATTGGTAGTTTGCCCAATGACATGTCCGATAGAGTTATCAAGGACTATTTCTCGGCATCTGGTATTGGGTTCAGTATGGCTCGTATACCTATAGGCGGTACCGATTACTCAACACATTTATATACCTACGATGATACAAAGGATGACTATTCACTTGAACATTTTACTTTTCCGGATGAGGATATCAAGTACAAGGTAGGTTTTAACAATTGTTTACCTGTTATGAAATAATTCAAATGTCTAAATCCTATGTGACAATAAATAATATTTATTAATGTAATTTTATTGTTTTATGATAAATAGATTCCGCAAATTAAACTAGCTAAAGAGGTAGCTCAACACGGTCTTACACTCATGGGGACACCCTGGAATACACCGAAATGGCTCAATGATAAACAGTTATTAAAAACTCAGCCTGATAAACAATATGAAACATGGGCTAATTATTTTATCAAGTAAATATATTATTTAACTTGAGTATGTTTAAATATAGTATTTAACATTCTTAGATTCCTTGACGGATACAAAAAGCATGGTGTAGAGATATGGGGTTTAACCATGCAAAATGAACCTATGTCATTTAGTTCAATGCAGTTTTTAAACGCATCTATTGAGCGCGACTTCATTAAAAAGCACCTTGGACCCTCATTGACAAAGGCTGGCTATACGAAGGATAAAATGAACTTGATGGTCTACGATGATGGCAGCGATAAGAATCCAATGATCGAGTACGTGACCACGTGTCTCAGTGACAAGGATGCTGCTAAATATGTCACAGGTATATTAAAAGATTATAAAAATAATTTTCCTAAATTAATTCACCTGTTTACTTTATATAGGCATTGCATTTCATTGTTACCTCTCTAATAAGTATCCTAGTGTTGATGCATTGCACGAAAAGTACCCTGATGCATTTACAATGATGACTGAATGTAATCAAAATTCTCGCCACAATACCGACCCCTTCACACCGGCCACTCTGGGCGACTGGGAACAGGCTACTAATTATGCCAATCAGATCGCAGATGTAAGTGCTCAGTATATAAGCTAAAAATATAAATTATCAAGGAATAAGCAATTTTACACTTTTATCATTAGGTTTTTCATCACTGGGTAAGTGGTTGGATTGCATGGAATTTGGCCCTGGACACATTTGGTCACCCTAACAAGGATTTGAAAATGTCTGACCCACCCCTGGTCATTGATGCTAAAAACAAGGAATATTTCAAAAATCCCAACTTTTATGCCATCGGGCATTATAGCAAGTTTGTAGCACCTGGCTCGCATAGGGTTGAGTTGACAGCCAGTACCACTCCGGGAAGTTTCAAGTTTATTGCTTTTGAAAGGCCTGATAATTCAGTAGTTATTGTCTTGGTCAATAGTGGTGCCGTCGCTCATGATATGACCATCAAAGATCCAGCTCATGGCAAAGTTGACGTTCATGTTCCCGGACAGTCTATTCAGACATATATTTATTGGAATTGAATGTAATGCCTTTAAAATTAAATATAAATTAAAACAGAAAATCGTGTATTATTTTTGCAATTTATACAAATTATCGAACAGATATTTTTTAAACATATACTATTACTTTATTCCCGGATTCTCCCAAACTTTTTAAAATTCGAAATTACTTATTAATTAAAAGTCATAAATTAGTCAAGTAAGTTTAATTAAGTTGAGCGCTTATTATACAGATACTAAACGCATCTATTGAGAAAAAGCACCTTGGTTCCGCGTTGGCAAAAGCTGGTTATAGACTAAAGACAATTTTAACTTCATGGTCTACGATGATGGCAGCACTGATAACCCAATGATTACCCAACGTGGACACATTTATCAGTGACAAGGATGTTGCTAAATACATTACAGGTACACCTTTTGCTAATAACTCAAATACCGTTGTTAATAATAATAGTCATACCTTATACATTTATTAGGAATTGCATTCCACTGCTACCTGTCTAATAAATATGAGGCAGTGGACGCCCTGCACCAAAAATACCCTGAATATTTTACTTTTATGACCGAATGCTGTCAAAATTTTCACAAACCTACTGATCCTACAGAAAGACCACGACTGGGCATATGGGACTCGGGCAGTGACTATGTCCGCCAAATAATAGACGTAAGGCGTTAATTTGAGTATGAACAATTAATAACTATAACAAATAATTATATCTAATTCAATAGGATTTTAAGCATTATGTAAGCGGTTGGGTGGAGTGGAATTTGGCCCTGAACGTGTTTGGCAACCCTAATAAGGATAAGAAAATGGCTGACGCACCCCTGATCATTGATGTTGACAACAAGGAATATTACAAAAATCCCCAATTTTATGCCATTGGACATTTTAGTAAATTTGTAGCACCCGACTCAGTTAGGGTTCAGTTGACAGGCATTAGACCTCCGGGAGGTTTAAAGTATGTTGCCTTTGAAAGACCAGATAATTCAGTAGTTATTGTCTTGGTCAATAGTGATGCTAACCCGGTTGATATAACTATCGATGATCCAGCTCATGGCAAAGTTGACGCACATGTCCCCGGGCAGTCTATTCAGTCATATATTTACTGGAATTAAATGTAATGTCTATGAAATAAATATAAATTAAAACGGAAATTCGTATATTATTTTGCAATTTATTCAAATTATTAATTCAGATATTTTTATAAAAAATAAAAACTATTACTTTATTTAATGTGTTAATTGTGGCAAAGTTTTTTGAACTTTTATTTTATATTTTTTGTTTGAGATAGTATAAATTATGTAATAGATAAATATGAGGTAAAAATATATTTATGTTAGCATATACAGTAAATCAATGAATTATACATTAAAAATATAATTATATACAGTATTTAAGTACATGTTAATATTAATTAGTGTTTGTATTATTTTATAGTTGAAATCTATTTGTGTAAATAATATAAATTCATACTTTTATTTATTTATATTTATTATAATTGAAATAGTTTAAAGCGAAATTAAATATTTGAAAAATTTTTCAAATATATAAAAAATAATTTACAAGATAAAACATTTCATAAGTAATCCAATAATCTAATTACTAACAAAAATAATTAATTTCACATGATAAATATTATTAATAATTCATACGGTAGTAAAATTTTAATGAGTATGCAAATAAGGAACCCAAAAGTGTTTGCTTTTATAATAATAGTTATGCAATAATTAATTCATGTTTTATATATGTTGTATATCAATAAAAATAAAATATTAATATGAACTATAAATACGTGTCAAATTATTGCAGTATTTATATAATTAAAACACATAATTTGTGTCACAATTAAATTTCTTTAAGTATTCGGATTTTATTGAATACTAAGATTTATTGTAAAATATAATTCTAACTAAAATACAATAAATATGATTAAAGTAAGTAGAATTTACTTTATATTTAATAAATGTTATACTAACCATATTACACGATTTGTACTTATATTAATAATAAAAATTAAATTATATAGTACCGTATTAATAATTTTATATAAAAACTAAAATATTAATATAATTGTAGTTTACAATTAAATAACTAAACAAGATTTTAAACTCTTTTATCACTAGTATTTTATTAGTGAGTAAAACCTGTAAACTAAATTGATTGATAATTGACTTTAATTTTACTTATTATGCCAAACCTTTTCATGGCGAATGCTTACATAGAAATTTTATACAATTATTTTACGCACTAGTTGGATTACTAGTTATTTAATTACCCACATAAGTTTAAATAATTTCTAAAATAAAATAAATCATCATAGACTTTACCTTAATTTATAATATAAAATTGATTATTGTATAAAAAGAATTTATTTATTACTGTTATAAATACTTACAATGATTTATTGATCCGGTTTTAACCACAAATAATATTATTATGTTACATAATATTCTCACTTTATTGTAACACAAATGTAAGATTAATAGTTTATAAAGTTAGAGTTTAGTAAATAACCAATTGTATATTTGATGTACAGTATATTTCTCATATTAAGTTTTACTTTTAGAACACTATTTATATCCTTGATATTTATCTGATAATTTAAAAAAATATTTGAGAATCCAGGTGTGAATGTGGACAAGTGCATGTATACTTTATCTATTATAATGTACAGATGTGCATTATTGATTATTTAATGGTAGAGTGTTTTTTATAAACTATTTCACATTGAAGTGTATTGTCGTACACTTAGTAGGAAACATCGAGTCACGAATCTCGATTGAGTGGTTCTAATTGTTATGAATAGTTAGCCAGTAACACAATTAACATTTTGAATTGACTAGACTTGGC